AGTATTAAATTCACAGCAGTTACCACCATAAAATTGTATCAATTTGCCATTAATTATGCAAATTAGGTCTTCATTTACATAATCAATATCTACCAATGATCTTGTTGTTCTCAATTACATATGTCTAAAGTGTTTCATAGCCCTAATATGGAATACAGCAGATTTATAGAATTTCCTCATTAATTATGAAAATTAGATCCTGATTTGCATAATTGTATTTTAATCATGTCAAGCATCATTTCAGCTACCTACATACCAAAAATCATGATCATCCATCAAACAGTTGTTCAGTTATCCTCTCTCGAATATTTTTAAAGAAACCATCCTGCAGTTCCAGAACAAGCCGCTAGGGGGCCCAAACTCATGTGACTTCTTCCCAAGCACGAGAGCTACCTATCATCCAAATTTCATGACCCTAGCATGTCCAGATCGCGAGATATCAAAACCGGAAGTTGCACTGCAGTACCAAGGGAAGCCACTAGGGGGACCAAAATCTAATCATTTCCAGTTTTTGTCACACCCTACCAACACACCAAGTATGAAACCAATCCATCCAGACGTTCTTGAGTTATCTTGTTGACCAACAGACGGACAGACGGACAGATAAACGCAACTGAAAATATACTAGTAACCTCCGTGACACATTTCATGGAGGTAACAAACAAAGGTGTGCCACTGTGTAATAACTTCATTAATCATACCACATTGAAGAAAATGGGCACCTGTATGTTTTAACACCTGTCACACGTACGTACACTCACAGTGCAAACAAATTTAAAGTTTGTCACGACTCATGATGTGGGTAAAGTCAGTCATTGGACCTTGACCAGAATAGACAAGCACCTTTCTTAGTGTTCGTGTATGTGCCAGTGACTTTGACAAAGCCTACTTAGTTATATGCATGACTGATAATCTCGAAACATGTGACTCATCTGTGAGTTTAAGTCCCGCCCGAAGCACTGTTTTGGCATTTGGAGGGCGTCTTGTGTTCAGCAAACTCATGCTGTAGGTAGGTTTGGATAGTTCTACATTGAATTGCAATGTCACTCACTATAGTAATTAGTATATGTTCGTTATTACATGTAGCAAATATATGTCTGTTTGTCCAAACAGCCTGACTCAGCTTTGTGGTGTACATTATGCAGGAGGGGGTAAGATTAAGTACCAAGCACCAAAAGTCTAGTAGCTTCCTTCGCAGACTTGTAATGCGGCAGTGTTAATGTTTTGGGGGGAGCGACGTGAGTTATGCCTCAGGGTCGGTTTTTGCCGGGGAGAGACGGATTCCCCGCATAAGAAGTCTGTTTGCACAGTGCAAAGTCTAGAGGGTTCTCGGGGCATGGTCCACGGGCAAAATTATTTGTTATCCTGAATTAAACGTTAAACCAAGGACATTGGTTAAACGTTTACGGTTTAACAAATTAAGTTGAAATTGAATGCCAGATTGTCCAAAGCAGGCTAGGGTTGCCACTTCCTTCCTGCACACCTATAGCCCTCTTAAATTTATCTTTACCAAGATCTGCAAGATCTGTCATATTTGATAGAAACGGTGTCAATGACATTTCTCAGGGATAACTGGTACTGTAGTATAGATGTATTAGTAGAATTGCTTTCAATTCACTGTTTCTTTTTATGTGCTTTATCAGAGTAATGAGAATTGATGTTTTTGTAGGCAGGACCAGAAGCCATGGTCAGTCAAGATTTTATAGCCTAGGGAAGTCATCCAGAATAGATAAAGCTTATATATGCTACTGATCTGATTAAACTAAGGACTAAGGACACAGCAAATAAATTTTATGGATGACATCAGCGCGCGCATTAATATTCGTCTGATTTGGAAAAAAAAGCAAGAAATTTTGTTGCCTTCTGACAGTGGTCAACATGCCGAAAATAGGCAAAAATGTCTGTTATCATGCTGGAAGGTGGATGGCAGATAACTATGAAGAGAGGAGACAAGAAAAGGCTTTGATTTAATGTTTTGTTTCTTACTTTGATGCTGTGATATGTGATGCTGACTGTGTACAAATATGTGATGTTCCCACTGAATCAAAACAATTTATACAATGATTGAGTCAAAATTTTAAAATGTAGGAGCCTTGTTTTTTTCGGCCCGCGCTGTTTTTTTTTTGGCCCGCTCGCATTAGATTTGGAGTCTGCGGAAGATGTCATCCATAAAATTTACTTGCTGTGGCCTAAGCCAGCAAAAACAAATTGGAATTCAACATGAAGTTATTTTAAACGCATTCTTCAATCATGTAATTTCCATGCACTAAGAGTTGTAGAGACTGTGTGGACAGAATTTCAACAATTTCCAGATGTTTGTGTTTCAGCAAGCCGTGTCCAAACTGCTTTTGTACCAGAAGCAAGCTACCAGAAAATGTTTTGAAAGCGTCATGCTTTGAGTGTAAAAAACAAATTAAATCTAGTCACCGGACTCGTGGCTCATTAGTGAGCTTGTTCAAGTTGTTGATCCCTATCTCCTGTAAGTATTGTGTATGCAAGATCTACTTGGAACTGCACCCCATTGAAAAGCAGTGTGGGCAACCCTGTGTAAATATGACAGAAAAAAAAAGAACTGCCACTCAGGCACTTAAACACAGTTTTTCCTGACAATAAGTCTCGACATTGACACAGTGATGACAAGACACCTACATGTGTACGTGGCACTTGCATTACGTAGACTTACTTCATTAAGTCGCACGTTCCTCCTGGCGTCTCCAACTTTCTGAGCTGTATGAGCTTTCTTCTAAAAAAACTTTTATTAGGTGTGATACTATACAATGTATAATACATAGCAAGTGGCAGCATCTAATGTTTATCCTTAGCAGGCTTCCAAATAGAACCAACAAAGTCATGTTTTTGTCTGCAGTCTGCTTTACATGTGTTTTTTCCGGAAAGGGTATACTACACAGCCCTTCTTAGGGGCCGTTAATGACAAGGTTCCAT